CCTACAGTTATGGGATATTGCCAAACTACGACGATTCCTTTCTATTCAAGCCCCTGAGAAATTGATATATACCTTTGTATACAGTAGGTTAGACTACTGTAATGCTCTGTTTTCTGGGACCACACCGCACATTAAACACCTTGCAGTGTATTCAAAATGCACCAGCTCAAATTATCACCAGGAGCTGGAAGTTTGAACACATAACCCCTGCTCTTTGTTCCTGTAACTAGCTTCCTCTTCGGTCCAGGACTGACTTCAAAGTTCTCCTACTTACATATAAGGCCCTTAAATATCTACCTCCTGCATACCTAACATAACTACTTTGAGTTTACAAACCACATCATCCACTCAAATCACAGAACAAAGGTTTACTTTTCATTCCTCATGTAAATAAAGTGACAGATGGCGGTAAAGCATTCTGGTACAGGGCCTCTATATTGTGAAATGGTAGGCCAGCCTATGTTCCAGATGCTGAAATTCTCTCAGTCTTTAAGTCTCAACTGAAGACCTGTTACTTCAGTTTAGCCTATCCACAACTTAACTCATTACACATGTAACTATGGCTGCTGGTGCTGCCATACATGCCATTTTTATCTAGTTAATAAATCACTCAATCAGACTTAATTTTATATAGCACTTTTCATACAAACCCAATGTAACACAAAGTGCTTTACATATTAAAAACAATACCCCCCTCCCCAACACACACCCCTACCTCCATCCTCACCCCAACTATATTACAATAAAAGACACAAGGAACCAAAAAAAAAACGGGAACTGAGTAGATGCTATCATAGATCTCATAAATTTACACGAGGAAACACCACAGGTATCAGGGGTGAAGTATTAAAAAGGAAAATAAATAGAGATAAAATGCTAAGGATAAAATAAATAAACAATTCTGGAATGATTAAAACCAGAAATAAAAAGTAAGGTATTAAAAGGAAAATGATTGAAAGCATAATGTAAAATAAATTATGCATGTCCATTAATGTGTCTATGCATGTTTTGACCACCCATGCTCTCTATTTTACTTCCCACATGTCCAGACAATGTCTGGGGTGGGCACCATCTGAGCTGGAGCCCTGGTTCAGTCCCATACAAACTGTAACGTTGTGGGTGCAGACTTCAATCTGCCACCCTACACAGGCCGGTGTGGACTACTGACTTATTGATGGATTTTGACCTTGATCACAGTTTACATCTTGCTTTTAGCAAGAAAGCACACTCCTTCTTTTTCAATAATGCTATGATGCATTTGATTATCTCAGCGAAGTCGTAAATTACGAGGCACCTGACGTCACATCCAACCAATCTCCCTTTCAAGCTACACATCTCGGAACAAACATGGCTGCCTCCAAGAAAACACTGTTGTTCTGTGTTGTTGCTTTATAATATTTTAGCAGATTTGGAGCGAGATTATTTTCTTTTCAAGAAACAAACAAAGAGGGAACAAACAAAACAAAAAACACTAACAAGTTTGGTAAAAATCTGATATTACATGCTAGGATTATGCATTGTGTTTACGCTCATGATATAGTATTTTCTAAGTTGATCACATGCAATAACATTTATAACTATTAATACATTTAACAAAATAAACATTTAAAAATATTTATAAAATAGAATGACTGTTGATTGTGTAAGCCGCCATGTTGAAATTATGAGACAGGGAAATCTCGTACAACAAAATTCTCTCAAACATAGGAAAGGGGGCGTGTTTCCTACAGGAAGTGACGTTTTCATGATGTTTTCCTCTGACTTACGACTTAGAGAGAGATAATCAAACACAGGAAAAGCATGCCTGGGGGGTTGGGCAGCCAGTTGACCTTGGACTCCCAGAGGGTTTTTGTCTCTCCACATGGGAGCTTTTGATTCCTCTACTCCATTGTGATCCGGCTTTCTTTTTTAATTTCTTTGACTTTCCATTACCCTAATTTTTGTTTTATTCTATCTTAATGTTGTTGTAATGTATCACAACATACCCATGTGAAGCACTTTAGGGTGACTGTTGTGAAAACCTGAATTTATTAATAAAATGCTTTTTAACTAAAAGGAGAAAAGAGTTTTTTAAGGTGCCCCAGTCCCACAGTCATTTCTAGCATATTATTTCCAGTACCTGGAGGAAGTGCCAAGAAGGAGACTAGTAGGCTGGATTATACATAAATGACTAATAATATTAGAAAAAACAACACAGTAAAACAAGAGATGTGACAATGTAGCCACAGCTGTCCAATGTCCTCAGTGGCTCATACAAACACGATGTTTAATTAAAATTTTTTTTTTTTTGCATGCAGCACCTCAGCAAATTCAGCACTGCACTGCTCAGGAAGTCTCCAGCTTTCTCAGAGAATGCCAAAGCCTTATCATCTATCGTTAACCACACCATGCGGAACTGGTTTCTTACTCCTTCCTTTGAATCAAGTGTCACACAGAAATCAACAAAACAAGCTCTTAGAATGCCTACAGTCGGCCAAGATTCTTCAACAAAAAAAGATTGATGATTACTTTTTACGTTATTGCTGCTACAGGTAGGCAAATATATTGGTTGTGCATTTAATCCATGGAGTCCATATGTATTTGAACTTAACAGCAAAGAATAAAATGCAAAAAAATCCTGTATACTTATGTTCTTTTTCTACACGGCACATGCCCCTGGGAGTTCCACAAGTTACTGAGCCATCCATGACTTACACATATAATAAGTAAATAATGATATTTTGGAATCTGTTATGTGCTCATGCCACCTAAGGTTAAACTGCAGCACTAAAAGAAGGTATATTCTCTTTTTCACATGACTGTAAATATTTAAAAGATAAAATAAGACAAGACAAGCCTCTACTGATCCCACACCGGGGAAATTTAGTGGTTACAACAGCCTATAGATAAAAAAAGCAATAGAAAAAAACAGACCAAAAGATACAAAAGAACAAATAGAAAAAAATAAGAAAATTATTGCACACAATTACACATATTGCACAGACAGATGGCCCAAAAACGGATATAGATATTGCACCTAGTGATATAAATATACAAGTTACATATATATGCAGTGGATACTGCACAGTGTACAGGACAATCATGTACACTATATTGCCAAAAGTACACACATGAAATTTAATGACATCCCCTTCTTTAATTTAGAATTGGCCCACCCTTTGCAGCTATAGCAGCTTCAACTCTTCTGGAAGGCTGTCCACAAGGTTTANTTTGCTGGGTCAGTTGCAGGGAATGTCATAACCCTTGAACCTGTGTCTGACCAATGAGACATTGGCCCATGTGATGTAGTTGATGAAGACAGTGTCTGACCATTCATCAGGGGAAGAGGTAAATGTTTCGAATAATGTTTGAACAAACTCCACTCTGAGCAATCAGTTCCAATGATGATATAACTTCTGTACAGGAGCCCAGTGCCAGCACACATGTCCCTTCTGGAACACGATTCACATCAAGAAGAGGAGATGGTGAGGTCAGTTGAGTACTTTGTAAAGTGGAAAGAAGAATCAAAATGCTATACTGCATGTACAGTGCAGAGAGAATCCTAAGACATTTGTCCTTGGATTTTCATCTGCAGAAAAATGTACGTGTTTTGTACAAGAGATACCTTCAACAGAAAATCACATACAGGAAACTGAAAATGAGGAAAATCCAGCAGGACATTGGATTTAATGAACTCAGGAAGACCAAAATTAAGTTGCAGATAGAAATACTTAGAAAACAAATGGTAACAAAACCGCCGCTCTCTGTCAGTCATATATTAAGCGCATACAACTTATGAATACTTGGTTCTGTATACTCATTACAGGCTAAAAAGTGACTTCACAATAAAGGTAACATTTATGTTGTCATTCCTGGAAATATCGGGCCACAATTCGGCCTCTGGCTGCTGTGCCGCTGGGTTGGTCAAGGTGCACTGGCTCAAGGTCATCATCAGGCTGCACCACCACCTCAGGGACCCTCTCTTTTCTGATGGTGGCTATGTTGTGTAGGATGGAGCATGCAACAATTATGTCACATGCTCTGTCAGGTGCAACCCTCAGCTTTTTCAGACATTGAAATCTCTCCTTCAGGTGGCCGAAGGTCATTTCAATTTGTGCCCTTGTCCTACACAGAGCTGCATTATATCGGGTTTGTGGGCCAGGGTTGGGGTTAGGGAATGGGGTCATTAAAAACTGTCTACAGGCATATCCCCTATCCTCAACCAGGATTCCATCATGATGACCTGTAGAATAGGTAACGGTTGTGATTACAAT